GAGCCCGCCCCACTTCTAGGGCCGGTGGTGCACGGGGAGGAGAGGGTGTCATGCAGCCAGCGAGGGCTGGTGCTGGGGAGGACGGGATGCCCGTGCAAGATGAGTCATGGAGAAAACGCTGCCCAGGAGAGAGGGAGTGGGGGGGAACCCCTGACCGCCCCCCCCCCGCAGCCTCCGCCAGCGCCTCCCCAGCTGAACCCAGCCCGGCAAATGTGGTCCGTGGGGTCAGCCCGGGCGGGGCGCAGAGCAGGGCCGAGAAGGGCAGGGGCTGAGTGGGGAGCAGGGGATCAAGCAGAGCATGAAAAGCAGGAGGGGAAGAGGGGCCGAGGGGCGGGTGGCCAAGGAGAGGGAGCAGAGGACGGGCGCGAGGTGGAGCGTGTGTGAGGCAGCGGGAAAGGGCTCGGCCTGTTTGCCTGGGCAGGTCTGCTGGACCCGAATCCGGCTCCGCTGCGTCTCCTCAAATAAACTTCTGGGAAGTGAAGGCCCGGAGCTGGCAGGGTGCAGAGAAGTCAGCAAATATGTGCGCAGCGAATTCCAAGCCTTCTGTTCCCAGCTCCTGGGAGGAGCAGCAGAGCCTTGGAGTCCTCCCTTTCCCTTCCTGTCCCCTGTCCCGGTGCTGGGAGTGGCCTCGGCCACGGGTTTATGCAAACCAGGGGAGCGTCCCTCCCCGGCGGCCCGGCGGCCAGGGGAACACGGAGTAACTGAGCACGAAGCCGACCTCGAGGTGGACACGTGCTCGGCTGGATGGCGCCCTCCCGCCTCCTCCGGGAGGCGCGCTTGGGCGGGACCGGTGCTCCATTTCATAGGTGAGGAAAGTGAGACTGATGGGGGAGGCTTTCCCAAGGCTGGGTTCTCAGCCAGCACCAGAGCTTTGATTGGGCCCAGACTGGGCTTGAACTCTGGCTCACAGGGAGTCCCTGCGGGGCCCTGGCTGAGCCTCACAGTGCCCGGGCCCGGCGGCCACAGGGGCCTCGCCTGTGCGTGAGTACCTCCGTACCTGCTCTGTCGTGGTCAGACTCCTAGCATACCCTTGAGGCTTGGGATTTTCCCTGAAGAAACTTTCATTAGAGGAAGATTTAGGAAACTGCTTCTTCATGAAACAGTCTGTGCTGGGCACCATGCGAAACCCTTTGCGTAGATTATCTCATTTAATCCCCTCAATTTATAAGTTCGGTGCTGTCACCACCCTCACTTTCTAGATGAAGGAACTGGGGTCTGAGAGGTTAAATAGCGTTTACAGTATCCCCACAGCCAGTACGTGGCAGAGCCAGAATTCAAACCCAGGTGTCGGATTCTGTAGGTTTTCAGGATCATGCTATCCTCCCCAGCAGAGAGCAGAGGTGTGGTTTTCCCTCTTCTTTTAAAAACACTCCACAGGCCCAGCCGGCGTGGCTCAGCGGATAAGCATCGACCTATGATCCAAGAGATCACGGTTCGATTCCCCGTCAGGGCACATGCCCGGGTTGCAGGCTCGATCCCCAGTAGGGGGCGTGCAGGAGGCAGCTGATCAATGACTCTCTCATCACTGATGCTTCTATCTCTCTCTCTCCCTCTCCCTTCCTTTCTCTGAAATCAATAAAGACATATATAAAAAAAACCAAAACACTCCACACATCTCTAACTAGGAAGGGCCATAGGTCGGCTGGTGGGCCCAGCTCCCCGGTCTTCTCCCCTGGCCTGGGAGTCCCAGCTGTGGCCTGTGGCAAGGGAGACTAGAGAGAGTGGCTTTCTTCAACCCCAGGGGAAGGAGAGGGACCCAGAGGACTGCTGGGTCATGGACAGAACATTCCCAGTCTAGCATAGGACAAAATATCTGTAGTCATCACACACCTGGGCACAGTCCACCAGGTACAGGCATGTGTATTACTCAGGGTTCTCCTGAGAAACAAAACAATGGGATATATATAGATACATAGAAACAGGTTTATTGTGAGAGGTTGGCTCGTGTGATTATGGGGGATGAGAAGTCCCATGATCTACTGTCTGCAAGCTGGAGGCCCAGGAGCGCCTGTGGTGTAAGTCAGTCCCAGTCCAAGTCTGGAGGCCTGAGAACCAGGGGAGCCTGTGGTCTGAGTCCCAGTGAGAGTCGGAGGGCCCAAGGCCCAGAAACAGTGGTGTCTGAGGGCAGGAGAGGACGGATGTCCGAGCTCAAGCAGGCTTTTGTTCTGTTCAGGCCCTCAGTGGATTGGGTGAGGCCATCCCGCATTGGTGAGGATGATCCTCTTTACTCTGCCTGCCAATTCAAATGCTAATCTCTCTGGAAATGCCCTCGGAGACATACCTAGAATAATGTTTTACCAGCTATCTAGGCATCCCTAAGCCCAGTCAAGTTGACACCTAAAATTAGCGATCACAGCATGCTGCACACTGTGAGAGACATATGTCTGCCTGCCCAGAGAAGGTGCTGGACATGTGTAAGGAGCCTCTCCCTCCCCTCCCAGTGCCATGCATGGTGCCAGACATGTGAATGATTGACTGAAGCCCCAGCTCGGAACTGTGGGGAGAAGACATAGGCAAAGGACACTTTCTAGGAATTTTAGACTAGGGCTGAGCTCTCCTGCAGCACCCATTCCCCCAGGCAGCCCCTTCCCGTCTCCCTGTACATCAATAACTCTCTTCTTGTGTCCCTCCCTGTCGGGGTTCCCAGGGAGGAGAGGAGTGGACCCAGAACCCTCCCCTTTGCATCTGTAGCTGGGCCCAGAGATCTGGCATCTTTGTGATTCTGGGCAAGTCCCTTGCCCTCTCTGGCCTGTATCCTCCTATGCAAAGGAAAGCAGGGGCCTCAGTGACCCATCGGATCCCTTCACACTGATTTTCCCACGGGCCCTCCAGCTCTGAGCCAATACAGCATCTTCTGATCCTGTTCCTGTCCTCCCACCTCCAACCTCTGGGCTGAGACTCTGGCCATGGTGCTGAAGGTGTCCACGGCCCCTATAGGGGCTTGGAGCCCTGGAGGTGAGCAACGTACTCATCTCAGGATTTGCGTTGGCAGAGAAAAACTACTCTGATTGAACATGTACCTTGTACCAAGTTTTCTGCTGTTCCCTTTACATGTATTGCCACAGTGACTGATCACAGAGGAAGAGATTATTATGGGGAAACTGAGTTTCAGGAGCTGTGGGTCCCCCACCTTCCAGGAAGCAGAAAGCTGCTCTTCTGACTTTGGGTTTCAAGTAGCCCTGGTTCCCAGAGACGGTCCTGGGACAATTAAGGGCAGCTGAGAAAACAGTGACATGCAGAAATGGTTGATAAAACTGTGAAGAAACGTCTGTTGGCATTGGTTCTGAGCCTGCGGCCAGAGATGAATGATTGAAACACCAGGCTTGTTAAAGCGAGAGCACGTTTGATTTCTCTCCCTTGCACTGCATGCGATTTCGCTGGAGGGAAGTTAGCAATCAGCTAATTGACATTGAATTAACCATGAAACTCAGCCTGTGCCTTCTCTCTGAAGCGCTCTCCAGCAAGACTTTATCAAGGCTTTGAATTATTGATTATTACTTATAGCTCTGATGGGGTGATTTCCTTTTTATTTGTTTTCACGTTGGGTGTCCTTCATAAGTGTCCCTGAGAGTGGGAGGCACCCAGACGGCAAAGTTTCTTACCACAGGAGCAGTGAGGGGAGGAGGCTGAGTCCATAGAAAACAGGTCTGAACAGTCCATCCTGCCCCAGAGAAAGAAACCTGTATTTGTTAAGCCATGGAGCTTTTGCTGCTGTTACTGTAGCAAAGCCTAGCCTAACCTGACTAATAGGGGTCCTGAGGGTTGAGGTCCTTCTTGATACCTCTGATGCCAAGTTTAAAGTCTGAATGAGCTGTGCTCCCTACCCCTGCCATTTAAACTCTATCTGTAAGGACTCTTATTAGATGTCTATTTCAATGCCTTCAGATACCTGAATTCTTCCACAGCATCTAACCCAATGGCTTTCTGGACTCAGCTTGCATATTTTTTCAACAGGAAATTTTGCCTGTCCTGAAGCAGTCTTTAAGAAAGTGCTCAGCTCTGACTTTCACCCTTGGAAGTGTCTATGTAACTATCCACTGGTCTGGGCTCTGCCCCATGGAATCCCACAGAGCAGTTTTATTCTTCTTGCCCCATAACAGCCCTTCCAGAATCTGAAATTAGATATCTGAGGCTTATTCTCTTCTAGACCAAACTTCTTTTCAACTCTTCTTATACGACTAGATTTCAAGTCCTTCTTCAGCTTGGTCTTCTCTTTTATTGGAGATCCAATATGTTTGAGAATATCTGAAAATACAACATCTAGAACTGGGCACAGCACTCCAGGCGTGGCTCTAGAATGGTAGAGCTGAACAGAAACATCACCTTCTTCGGGTTGGATATTAGACCTTTAATGATAGTAGCCCAACTGGGATGAATAGCTTCATTCTATGGCAGACACGTTTACTTCTCATTGAATTCATGTGCCCCTCATATTTCCCAGCTTCCTTGTGGCTGTCTGGGGCCATGTGATTAATCTGGCCAGTGGTCTGAGAGCTGCAGCTATATGTGATACTCTGGAATGAAACATTTAAGAGCCGGTGAGTGACATTCCAGCCCTTTTTGCTTTACATGGTGACCTGGAAGCTATGTGTTGCAGACAGTGTTGCTATGAGAAACAAGCAACCTGGATCTCTGAGTCACCACTGGAAAGGAAGCTGTCCCTGAAGAGCTGCAGGACCCACAGTGGACTTTGTAGGTGCAGAAAGAAACTTTCATGTGTTAAGTCACTGACATTTTTGCTGGAGTGGTTGCTGTTACTGCAGCACAGCCTAGCCAAACCTGACTTACAGGCCTGCCCTGCTGCTCACTCATGTAAGACTTTAAGTCTCTCTCGTCACTCCTGTAACACCTCAGGTGAAACCATCCCTCTTCAATCAGACCCTGCAGTGATTCGGAATAATCCACTTTGAGCTCCTCAGGTTAGTGAGCATATTTTGTTTTTTGTGTCTCTCCCAGGGCTGGTTGGCCACACAGAGGGCATTAATCTTTGCAGAAGGAAGAGAGCAAGGAAAGGAACTCTGGGCCCGTCAAGATGGATGCAGAAAATATCTTCTGGAACGAGACAACGTCTCAAGTCTCTACTTCCCTCACTGGTCAGCTCTGTGCTCTTGACTAGGACTCATCCTCTGTGAGTTTCTATCAAATAGAGGCAGTAGTGCCAGTCTTTCAGAATTTGGGAATGTAATAATATATTTTATGAAAAGTGCCTGCCACTCAGTGTTTGTTGTAAATAGCGCCAGGTGTTGCCATCACCACCCTCGTCGTCGTCATCATCAGTGGGACCAGGGGGTTGTAGCCCCATCCATCCAGGTAGGAAGCAGAGAGGAGGGTCATTCAGGAGGGTCTCAGCCCAAGGTGGTGGCAGGTGGAGAGTTCGCAGATGCAGGATGAAGGAGACCCTCGTGGGTTGAGGGCCCGGCATTCTGGCCCAGCTTGTGGCAGCGTCCCTCCAAGGATGCTCTCGCCTCCAGACCGCCCTCCCCTTCTTCACTGGGCTTTCACGCAACGGATATGTTTGGCCGGAGGTGCAGCTTGTTACATCTCTCTGGTTGCTTCCTCGAGTACAATTGTGCTTGGTTCCAGCAGAAACCTGGGCCAGGTGACAGGATAGTGAAGAGCCATGTCTCTCTGTGGCAGGTGTCCGGTGTGTAGGGGAAGGTGGGTGGCTTCTGGACAGATGCCACAGTAGAGGCGGATCGCACATGTGGGCAGATGTCATCTAAAGATGATGCTGGTGTGCCACACACACAGCTCACCCTAGACAAATGCCATGCAAATGCACATCGCTGGGGATGCCTGTGCCCTGTGGAAGAAGAGAGAGGGAGCTTATATTTTTTTGAGTTATATATACTTTAATCCTCACAATTCCATAAGACAAGGATTATTATTCCCACTTGAGAGAGAAGGAAACTGAGGTTTAGAAAGTGTGTGAGTTGGGGACTGAGTCCAGGTTTGCTTGACTTCAAAGCCTGTCCTTTTTTCAGTCACCACCTGCCTCCCCAGACTTGTCCTCTGCTCAGTCTTCACTGCCCTTCACCTTGACAAATGTATAACTTCCTTTGCTCCCTAAAATAGTTCAGAATCACTGTGGTATGTTCTGATCCTCAGTTTCCTCTCCTAAAAATGGGGACATGATGGCACCTCCCTCGTAGGGTTGTTCTGAGGATTAACTGAGTTAACGTACATAGACCATTTAGCACAGGGTTAGCATTATTTAAGTATTAATCATTAATATGATAATACCTAATATGATAATACTATGGAGTACTATGTTGACTATATCCCAGGTATGGTGCTAAGTGCTTTCTTCACTTCATTGAACCCTCAAAATGACAGGTGTTAGTACCTCTCTTTCTGTTGGGGAGATTGAGGCTTAAGAGAAGTTAAGTGAATGTCCAGGTTCACACACTGGGGAAGTGACAGAGCAGGACTCTGAGACCTGGTCACCCGAGGTTGCGCTGTACGAGGTCAGAGCCAAGGGATAAAATACCATAGGGATGACTTGCATGTACCGAGTGGTTGTTACATGCCTGGCACAGTGCTGGTGTGTATATAGTCTCAATCTGCAAAACTGTCCTCCACGAGGCAAGTTCTGAAATGAGCTGGATTTTTTACACATGAGATTGAGAGTAAGTCTAAGCAGGCAACTCACTCAAGATCTCACAGCCAGGAAACTGCAGTGCGGGGACCTGAGCCCAGGTTCTCAAAGGCCCTTGAACTTAGCCATGTATTCACCTTAGTACCTGAGAAGGTATAAGTATTGTATATCCTACGACTCTCATGTGATGCTTGGATTAAAAACTGTTTCCAAAATACATGCTGAAAAGGAGAGGACTCAGGACGTTTTAAGAGGAAGGGAAACGTAAGGATATATTAGGCAAAGGCCAACGCGAAAGAGGTAGGCGTTGAATCGCTGGCCTTCCAATGGCTCCAGGTGGTTTGAGCAGGTCACAACCAGTTGAATTCAGCCGCATCCAGTCTTGGCCAGCTCCACACATCTGAGCTGGCCCCGACAGGCCTGGCTCGACCGGAGCCGGCTTGAATCAGTTAGATCTAGTGGCAGCCATCCGGGATCAGCCTGAACTGGATTGACCTAGTTTAAGGCCGCTCGTCTCTTCAGGTTGACTTCCTGCTCGGCCTTAGAGTTTTCACTCCCTGTGGACTTTCTTCTCTTGGACTCCCTGGTTGAGTCACTAGTGAGAGGAAGTGTAAATAAATTATTCACCAGCTCTTGGACCCTTAGGCGTGTGCAGCTAGAAGACCTCAGCTGCTGGGCTGTGGCTTGGCCAACTCTGCCCAAGCACCCCCTCTTCCATTCCTCTTCCTACGCTGTCCCTGTGGAGTCCACTTCACATGAGCTCTCCCTACCCATTCCTGTCCCAGACGCAGACTTTTCCTTCAATTTCTTTTTGAAGGTACAAGCCCAGGGGATCCGAATGTCCCTGAGTGTTGGGGTTTGTCTGGGATGGCAGGGCTCATGTGTGGATGGTGTCGCCATAATGGGTGACTGGAGCGTGTTACTTGCTTCATTCCCAGACCCAGAAACAGATGTGACTTGCACCACTACGCTGGCAATTCAATTAAACATTGATGTGCATGGGGGCTGGGGGAGGAAGGTGGGCAGGAAGGGCAGGTGCTGGCTAATGGGATGCCACATCGCATTACCATCCTGCAGGAGCTGTGCCCCATCAGGAAACGAGTACCCAACAGGCCTGGGGAATGGGACCTCCATGCAGCTGGACCCCTGCCCTGGGCTTGCTGCTCTATTCCCAGCTGGACTGGGTGGTGATGGAGCCTCGGGACTGATCAGACTCAGGAAGAGTTGGAAATCCAGCACCAGCTGTCTCCTGGAGCTGACAATCCCCCAGGACAGGCCACCTCCCCCTTCCCTGTGAGTACCACACCTCAGGCTGTGAGTATGTGGTTGGAGAACAGGGATGGCCACCTGGTTGGGAATTTGTATCTTTAGAACTAGGAGAAACTTGTCTAACACACTTACCCATGGTCACGCGGAGATTTACAGCAGGCCAGCTGCGCTCCTCCCACTGAGCTGTGGGATCCATTCTGTGCATAGAGAGGGAACAGGGTAGAGAGAAGGAGAGTCTCCTGCCTCCAGCCCAGGGCTTTCCTACTGTGTTTTGTACCACCACCCCCGCATTGAGGGCAAACTCTGCTCCTGAGAACCAGTCCTCCAGTTTTCCCCACCACAGTTCTGCCCGGCCACCTCCACTTGTCATGAAGCAGACCATGCCAGGGCTCTTGGGACCCTGAGGACACTTCCTATCCCTTCTGTGGGTTCCAGTTCTCCAGGTCATCTGAGGAGGGGCGGGGGACACAGAGAAGCAGGTGGTGGGTTTATGAATGTTAATCCAGGGGGCATCTGAATGAACTATGTCAGGTCTGCTCTGTCCTAAGGTCAAAGACTGACCTTAGGTTCTAGGGGAGCAACTGAGCTCAGAAATAACTGTGCCCGTTGACTGCTGACCATGCCTAGAGACCAAGTGTGCCCAGGAACCAGCTGTCCAGGGAATGACTGTGCCCTGGGACACACTGTGCCTGGGACTTACTGAAACCCTTTGAGGACTCCCTGTGTCTGGACTGGGGCTCATCTGTGCCCAGGGACTGACTTTGTTACCATGACCACCCAAGGGCTGACTGGACCCAGGGGCTACCCATCCCTAGGGACTGATTATGCCAGGGAACATCTATGCCCAGTGGCTGACTGTATGTAGCCTGACTGTGTTCAGAGACTGTTTCGGGGAGCAGCTGTGTCCAGAGACTGACGTTGCCAGTGACCAACTGTGTCCAAGGACAGCTGTACCTGGCAAACCGGTTGAGCTCAGGGAGTGGCCCTGCCCAGAGCTGGACTAGACCAGGATGAACTGTATCTGGAGCTCTAAGACCCACTGTGCCCAGGTACCAGCTGTGCCCGAGGACTACGGGGAGAGGCAGAAACCCTTCTTAATGGAAGTAGAGCCATGTGCCTGGCATAGCACTGCCCAGCTGCATGGCACCGCGCCTGGTGGAGGGCCTCTGGCAGCAGCTCTTCTGGGACAGTGGGAAGGGATCCCCTGCTCTCCATGCAGGCAACCTCAGGCTCCCCATGAGGCCTGGTGATTGGAGAAGGAGGGAACACGGAGCTGTTGGCACCTGTTATGTCAGCACCTCCTCGGCCCTTCCTTCTCATTACCACTTCTTCCCCAGGACAACCCCAGGAGCCGAGGTTCGCAGAGCTAAAATTCTTTCCCGGTCTTTCTGACCCCCGAGCTCTTAGCCATGCTGCTGTTCTGCCCATACGGCCGCAGGCTTCCCGTAATCACATGGCCTCCCTGAGAGGAGGGGGACACTGGGGCCTCTCCCCATCTTACAGAAGAGGAGACCAAGGCAGGAACAGCCCCAGACATCTCCTCTGCAGTTGGCAAGTTCAACCTGCTCGTGCCAGTGGCCCCGACTTTCCGGGCAGTAGAAGGGCACTTGGCAGGCCCGGGAGGAAGGGCTTCCTGCGGGCTGCATTCCTGGTTGCTGTCTTGGAGGCGGGCAGGCCGGGGTGCGGAGGCCGCCTGCCTTGTCACAAGCCCCCTTTCATGATGCTCAACAAGGCTGCTTCAGAGCCCGGGCTCGGCTGTGCAAACACGCGCATCTGGGCTGCGGGCCGGAGCGGGGCAGCGGAACTCCCCCACGGCCGGCCAGCTGCTCCTGACCTTCCGGACAAAGGGAGCTTTGGCCCTGGGGGGGCTCCCAGGGAACTTGGGGCTGCGGAGGGTACAGCCCTTCCCCAGCCCTCCACGGGGAGCAGTCCTCTCTGGGCCGCCTGTCACTTTCATGGGGACGGAACTCTGACGCTGAGCGCATTTCCTGCCGAGGGCATGCCCTTCTCCCTCCAGGGCCACACCCAGCCAGGACAGGGGAAGACGGGACAAAGGGACTTGGGTCGCAGGCTCAGACTCCTCTGAGCAGCCATCCCAGTCTAACCTCCCTCCTCAGGGAGCTTATAGCTTCATGGAGGACAAAGTCACAAACCAAATAATCAAAAACCAAATGTGAGTGACAGCAAACTCTTATGTAGTGTTTTTCAGATTCTAGATACATATTTAGATATTTTAGATACATATTTACATATTTTAACTC